TTGGCCCGGTGCAGGCGAGGCGGCGAGCTATGCCCGCGGCATGGCCGGGCGCTCCGGCCCCATGGCGCTGCTCCTCGGCCTCGGCCTCCTCCGGCTGTGCTCAGGTGAGGACGGGCAGCGGCCGGGTCCCCTCTCCAACCGGTGCCCACGGCTCGCTGCGCTCTGACCCACCCCTGCTAGGCCGGAAGGGGAAGGAGGGATTCCCTTGAGGTGGGGGATCTGCTGGGGGATGGGAGAGAGACCCCCCCCACCGGAACTGCAGGGAACAACTGGGAAACTGAACAGGGAAGAGGACCTACCCGAAGGAGTGAGTGATGCAGGAAAGAGAGGGACATCTGGCCAGGGGTGGCCGGGAGGGTGTGGGCGTAGAGAGGGAGGAGGAAGAGGTGCTCTCCAGGCTTTCTGGGGTGGCAGGAGGGCCGGCTCTGGCAGCGATGGGATGCCACTTGACTTTCTGGGAGACCTTATCTCAAGAAATCTACTTGGTTTAGCACCCCTCCGTTGGCGTCCCATCATCTCTCATCTCTCACATCCAGCTCCTGATTCTGGTCCCCCCACAGGGGCAAGGCAGGAAGGGGCAAGAAAGGGCCTCTCAAATCTCCTGTAGGGTAGGACAGGGGACTCGGAAGGGAAGAAGCTATGCCAGGCTGAGGACCTGGAAGGAGTTCCCTGAGGGGTGGGGAGGGCTGTGTGGGTACAGAGTGGCAGAAGGGGATAGAGTGTGTGGAGGGCCAGGTGCAAAGGGCATGTGCAGCTGTGTGAGTGTCCCACACCTGTGTCCCACACCTGTGAGGCTCGTGGGGTGGGCTCCTGTGTGTGAAACTGACCCACCACTCAGGCAGCTGTGCTATTCTTCCACCCAGTGCCTTTGGGGAACAGAGAGGGGATGGGGATGGTGTCATGACCACGGTCACACATGGAGGTATATAATGTTATTTGCACGCATAGGTGGACACAGACTGAGGAGAAAAGGGTGTGTGGTGGGACACAATTAATTGTCTCCCTTTCACCATCCTCCAAGGCCTCACTTGGATCACAGGTCTTTGCTGGGGAAGCCATGGAAGCAGTCGTCTTCAACCACCCTCTGAGACGTCCAGAGAGCAGGGCTCCACTTATCCTTGCAGAATGGATTCTTAGTCTGAAGGCATCTCTGTGGGGCTGTCTGGACCCCTTGGTCAGTGGTCTCAGAGCAGGGCTTCTCTGTGAAGGGCTCCATCTGAGGTCTCCATGGGGTAATCTAAGCGTTTCGCAGAATCCTTAGGGATAAAGCAGTAGGAAGCTACTGGTGAGGCCTGGCTTGTGCCATTTGCCTGAGGAGGGTAGAATCCCGGGTGTCTCTTTACCTGCTTACGTACTTCCTGCTTTCCCCTCCCAGGGGTATGGGGAACGGACACGGAGGAGCGGCTGGTGGAGCATCTCCTGGACCCATCCCGCTACAACAAGCTTATCCGCCCAGCCACCAATGGGTCTGAGCTGGTGACAGTCCAGCTCATGGTATCACTGGCCCAACTTATCAGTGTGGTGAGTGGGGGCCCCAGACCCTCTGCCCAGCTTCTGAAGTCAGCCCAGCCAGAATGGGTTGATGTTTGTGCTTATTCCTCCGATGTTTTCAAGGCTTGGGGAGGGGTGAGAGGGACCCTGGTGGTGGCAGCGGGCCCACAGCTGAGGACCTTCTCAGCAGTTCCTCTTCCCCTCTGCAGCACGAGCGGGAGCAGATCATGACCACCAATGTCTGGCTGACGCAGGTCAGTGCTCCTCCCACCCACTCCCTGGCCTTCTCTCTCCTTTTTTAAAATGTGCTTGTTTTCTTCTTTCTCAATCTCCTCAAAAGAAGCAGAAAGGTACAGACTTATTTGGAGTCCTAAATAACTGGATTTGAACCTTGGTTCTGCCACCCACTGGCTCTGTGACTTTAAACATGTCACATTCTCCAAGATTTATTTGTCTCATTTGTAAAATGTGGCCTCTAACATGGTACCTTGGCCCAGCTGTGCAAATTAAAGGAGAAGGTGTTGTATGAGCTGTGCCTGTTGGGCAGAGAAGTCCCTGTGGCAGGAGGTTGTCTTTTAAAAGAAAAGCAGGTCGGGCTTGGTGGCTCAGCCTGTAATCCCAGCACTTTGGGAGGCTGAGGCGAGTAGATTGCCTGAGCCTGCGGGTTCGAGACCCACCCGGGCAACTTGGCAAGACCTCGTCTCTACAATAAATCAAAAACTAGCCAGGCATGGTAGCACACGCCTGTAGTTCTGGCTACTTGGAGGGCTGAAGTGGAAGGATCGCTGGAGCCCAGCAGGTCGATGCTGCGGTGGCTGGAAGCATGCCTCTGCACTCTATTCTGGGCAAGAGTGAGACTCCAACTCAAAAAGAAAAAAGAAAAACAACCTCAAGCTTACGGGTCCCCTCTTGTCCCTTCCCTTGAACACCAGCCCTTCCCAGGTCAGAAGGCATCACTGCCTCCCTCTCTCCCTTTCCCAGGAGTGGGAGGATTATCGCCTCACCTGGAAGCCTGAGGAATTCGACAATATGAAGAAAGTTCGACTCCCTTCCAAACACATCTGGCTCCCAGATGTGGTCCTGTACAACAAGTAGGAGTCATGGGATGGTCGGGAGGACCATGGGGGTGCTCAGGGAGGGCAGGGATCTTGGGCAAAATGAGAGGCATTAGCCTATGCTATAGAAGGGAGAGGGCTTGTAACAGGCAGGTGCGCACTCACTCCCCAGGCAGACAGACCCAGACTAGTGAGGTGTAGTGTGGACAGTGCGATGACCTGAGCCGTGGCCAGTGTCCTTCCAGCCAGTCAAGACTCCCAGTATGTCTTTGGTTCTGTGGTGGGGATACAGACAAGTACTGACAGCTTTCGGCGCCTACACTGATTCCAGAACAGGTTTTCCTGGAAGCTTGGGCAGGGCCAAAGAACCTTAGGGTCCCAGTCTCTCTCCAGGTCTGTCCTGTCTCCTGCAACAATCCCTCCCACCTCGAAGGCAAAAAGCACCTTCCTCAACTGATAGGACCATGCCCTGCCCCGCTCTGTTGCTTGGGGCTCCTCACTCTGGCCTCCCCACCTCTCCCTGCTGTCCCATTCTCAGAAGGGCCAACCAGCTTACACAATGTGTGACAAGTAGCAGGTGTCTTCCTCCGTCTACCCTCTTCGACCTCTGAGGGGCCACACATCCGTCCTCCCGACCAGGACACCACTTCTGGCCACCAAGCCCACCCACACCCCCTTCCTGCTCCATTCCGGCTACCCCTCCAGACCCTGGAACGGCCACTCCCCGACCTGGCTACCCCTGTCCCCACTGCCCCCCCCCCTCCAGCCCGGGGCGGGGATGACGGGTCGTAGGGGAGGGACGCTCGCGCCAGGCCTGACGGCCCCCTCCCTCGGCAGTGCCGACGGCATGTACGAGGTGTCCTTCTATTCCAACGCCGTGGTCTCCTACGACGGCAGCATCTTCTGGCTGCCGCCCGCCATCTACAAGAGCGCGTGCAAGATCGAGGTCAAGCACTTCCCGTTCGACCAGCAGAACTGCACCATGAAGTTCCGCTCATGGACCTACGACCGCACGGAGATCGACCTGGTGCTCAAGAGCGACGTGGCCAGCCTGGACGACTTCACGCCCAGCGGCGAGTGGGACATCGTGGCGCTGCCGGGCCGGCGCAACGAGAACCCGGACGACTCCACCTACGTGGACATCACGTACGACTTCATCATCCGCCGTAAGCCGCTGTTCTACACCATCAACCTCATCATCCCCTGCGTGCTCATCACCTCGCTGGCCATCCTGGTCTTCTACCTGCCGTCCGACTGCGGCGAGAAGATGACGCTGTGCATCTCCGTGCTGCTGGCGCTCACGGTCTTCCTGCTGCTCATCTCCAAGATCGTGCCGCCCACCTCCCTCGACGTGCCGCTCGTCGGCAAGTACCTCATGTTCACCATGGTGCTCGTCACCTTCTCCATCGTCACCAGCGTGTGCGTGCTCAACGTGCACCACCGCTCGCCCACCACGCACACCATGGCGCCCTGGGTCAAGGTCGTCTTCCTGGAGAAGCTGCCCGCGCTGCTCTTCATGCAGCAGCCGCGCCACCGCTGC